AAGAAAAGAAAAAGGAGTGCTTTAATGACTGCAGCAGAAGACGTGCACCCGCACACAGGTAGCTGTTTGCAAACATTTCTCCCATCTCCTTGGTGACTGCTGTGCTCCCAGGATTTGCACTTCATGGGCTCTCTCTGATTTCCCGTTAYGCAGAACCATTTAATCACTATTTGGAGCAGGACCTCTACCCCATGACCGCTCTCTGCACCATGGTGGGAGCTGCTGACTCCGGACACAACTTCCCACCCATCCCAAACCTTTAATGAAGAACCCCAGCACCAGCCGCAAGCCTCTGAGGCCACAGTATTAACATCAGCCGTATCTGGTGCTCATCAATACCTAATGCAACTAGTCCCATGTCAGAGCAAGCTGGTCTCACGTACACGTACGAAGCTTTTCTGGCTCTGCTTCTCCCCTTTGCTGCCACTGGATGTAGAGCACGTGCTGTCTGGAAGCAAGGGGGAAAGTGCAATGTAAATGTAAAACGTGCAGGAACCCTTTGGTACAGAAACCCAAGTTGCTCTGTCACTTGCAGTATGAAAAAATTTCTTCTGTCAAAAAAAAGTCACACTCATAATGGAAACCTAAGAAGCTTATTGATTCTGTTGAAACTTCACTTTGAGGAAATGGAGTCAGAGATGGACTTTTCTGCTGTGGTCACAGTGTTTTATTTTTTGTCTCAGCAGAAAAATCTTTTTTATTTTTTTTTTATTAATATTTGCTTCTTTGAAAATGTATTTCATCTAGAGTAACTTCCCATTGCCAGGTGTTGAAATGCTGGGGACTCAACAAGGTTCAGCTCCCACCTGGGCTCAGGCATTACTGCCATGAAGGTTATGCCCCATTTTGAGTGATTACTTTTCTACTATCTGGGTCAAAGCAAAGTAGGACAGTCCTCATCTGAAATAAACCTCCCAAAGGAGATACGTACCACAGTAATGAGAGGAGAAGTCAGAGTAATCCAGCTGTTTGGCTTCCAGAGCTGGGATGGATAAGCCTTTATTTTTGCATGGTATTCAATAGCGAAAGTAAATGAAATTTAGGGCCTGATCCTTCTTCCACAAAACATAATATCAATATTGTAATTGGTTTAAATTTAGCAACAATTATAATTTAGGTAACAATTCCTCACTGTTTTTAGAGATGAAATAAAGGACCTAGGGGATGTGAAGTCTGACTGTACAGATATGGCCTCAATCTATATCCTTTAACAGTTGCAGGGCTGCAGCTGTTTCTATATTTCTGCAATATCCGTCTATACTGTTACAGGAGCATGCTCCATTTCCAGTGGTAATGAAACAATTAAGCAACTAAAATCAGCCAGCTTTCTTTTAAAATAAATAAATTTAATTTTATATGTATTTTTAAAGATACTAGTTCTCTCTAGCTCCCGAAATTACTCTCTTTTGTGCTCTTAATACATTCCAACAAGATCAAGTAACAGCTACAAAATATTCCATTTCCATGGAAATTAGTGTAGTTTTCTTTGCCTCTAATCAGACCCTTTTGCTGAGAGCTGAACTGTTTATTTTTAACCTTTCAGATGACAAAAGCTTGCCGTGCCTTTCAGGTCACAGTGTAGCTGTTCCTCTCTGCTTCAGTAGGTCTTTTGGCTCCAGCCTTGCTGGGGATGTGGGGCAGCTGTGTGGTAGATGCTGATACCTCTGCCTTCTTCCTGGCAGTCCCCATCCCAGAGACCCCCAAAAGATGATGACGACCAGCGTATAGGTCTGTGACTGCAAACTGGGAGAGCAAGAACGGTCGCATCTCCTACCTATGGTGAGAACAGCATGGGATGCCTAAAAGGATGGGGTATCTTATGCATATATTTAAAACATCCTACTACCTGTTATGTCATGAACCCCAGAAGAAGGACAGCACTGACACAAGGAGGGAGGATCGGGCAACCCACATGCCATGGACAGCTCTAGAAGATGAAGAGGATGATGCAGCTGGGGGCTTATGTAGCTTCCAGAAGTGCCCGAGTCCTGCACAGTATGGTTGGAAATGACCTTTTCTAGCAATTACCCTTGCAAACATTTACCCAACTTACTGTGTCTTCTGTCAGTGTGGCAGRCAGTGTAGCCTCCCAGTCTTTTCTTTTTCCTTTTCTCATGCTGGAAACCAAGGATCTAGTTTCTTGGAGGATTTACAAATATCCCTCTCTACTGCCTTGATCCCTAGCTGTGCCTGGGGGATGTCTATATGCTCCTTGCACTAGCAGGTCCAGAGCAAGAGCTGAGGCACAAAACTTCGAGCCTATATATGCTTTTGATACAGCGAAAGCTCTCACGATGCAAAATTTCCAGCTTGCAATCTCCTTATTTTCTTCTAACTTGCTGACTTAAAGCTTTTTTTCTAAAACAGAAACTATTGCAATAAATTGTCTTGTGTTTTTTTTTTTTTTTTAGAAAAGGTCTATTTGCTGCAACCAAATTTTTGTTCATTTGTCCTCATACAAAATCACAGAGCAGCTGAGTGGGCAGAGCCAGTCCAATCACACATGCAATGAGGATAAAGCTCTGCTTTTGGGGGTAATGCAACTTTTGCCAGATAATAAAAGCACGAGGAAATCCCACTTCTTGTGTGCAGTGTCACTATTCACCTCAGCGAACAGAATGACATGAGGTTGTTAGGTAAGGAAGGCTCAAATCTGCTGAAGGAGAAGGTCTGCAACTGCTTGCACCTGTAGAAGATTAAGGCTCTGTTGGGGGCCCTGAGGGTTATGAGCTTCTCTGGGTGTGGGGGATTGCTCAGCATTGGGGTAAAGGAGCACTCAGGTGAAGGAAGTGACCGTCAAGGAGTAACAGGCAGAATAAATGAGGAGTTCGGCAAGTTAAAGGCATTTCTCTAAGCTTGTGCCTCTGTCTGTTTGTCTCCTGCTGCCATGATCCGTGTTGGGTGCAGGAATTTCAGGTCAGTCCTTGTGAGCAGGAAAGGGCTTCTCTCCTTCTGCTTCCCAGGTTTCTGGTAGGGGCTGAGCTTGGTGGTGTCTGCAGGTATCCTGGATGGAGACAGCATAGGTGTCTCACTGCCACGGGGGCCAGACTGAAGGATATTGTAATGGCTGGTTGTATTAAATTGATTATAGGACTTATTTTTTCCCTTTCATTTTTGGGCCTCTCTAGGGATTAACTTCTTGGTTTATGAGGTTGATCTGGGYATTGCTGAGAGTCGTGGGTCTATGCTCAGATTAAGATCAGTCATAGTGGCTTTGCKTTTCCTATCTTATGCTCTTGCTAATGGAATAGCTTGAAAATCTGTAGCATGAGTAGAGTACAGCACAGTGCCTGAAACCTCAAAGATACGAATAGATGTCAGCTTAAAAACACAGGCAGCTCCACCTCATGAGTCTCTGGCTCATACAGAAGTCTTGTGTAGAGGTTATTTACCTCTGCTGATAGTACATGAGGGAGAACTCGCTCCAGCTCCTCCTCTAATAGCCCTTGAGACAATTGAAACTGTCTCCTTGCCAATAAGATCAGTGGTGACAATGCTGAATCTGTGTAAGGAAATGAGTAGGAAAGTACTGCTCTTGCATGGTCCCTCTGCAGACCCAAAAAGGTATTGGGCTGCTTGCCTGGGGTCTCCATCTGGGTGTCAACACCAAATGCTTGTGCTGAACACGTGGGTGTGCTGAAACTGTGCTACAGTTGAAATGGGGAGGAAAGCAACATTGTAATCCAAGGGATCTGATGTGAAACGATCTGTTCTGCATATGCATTTTGTTAGCATTCAGGTAACATTTTTATTTAGGCTCTCATTTATTGCCTATTGATCTCTGATATTTACCCACGGTTCTCTTAATTAATTTCATCTTGCTGGGATGGGAATTAAATTCACARTTAGTTTTAGGTTTAGGCCTAAACTGAACAGTTCAGTTAATGAATGACTTGCTGACAATACTAATTGCCTGGATTCTTGATAGACTCAAGGAAGTACTGCAAGACAAATTGATATTTATAGCAGGTGTTTGAAGCTGACAGATCTTGAGGGAGAAGAAGCAGATAWGCAGGATTAGGGAATTTCAGAAAAAGTTAACCTTTTTCCTTTCTGGGCCACAGAAGGCCTTGCCTGAGGCCTCATTGCTGGAGAAATGAGGCCACTGTAAGATGTATTGGCTGAGTTCAGCACTTATTTAGTGGTGGTCCCAGGAGGTAATTGCATGTGCAGCTGCAGTGCTTAATTGCCTCTGTGCCAGGACTTCAGTGCACGGACTGGGGATGCTTCCCTTGGTATATGAAGCAGGGTTGTTCCGAGTACATAATGCATTGCTGTACTGCATGTGTGATCTTACAGTGCTTCTGTCATAGGGCAATCATGTATGTAAGGGTGCTACTCTTTGGAAGCAGCGTCTGGAGCCAGGCAGATGCTCCTGCATAGTGCTAGGGAGGTGACCAAGGATGAAAGACCCCAAGAGTCCTTTCCTAATCTGCCTTTTCTAGGCTGTCCTGTCCCCAAGCTGGTGCTGCTGTTCTGGTTGCGAAGTGGCTTCCTGCAGTCCTCGAGTGCCAGCTGATTAGTGACTTTATTGCTGAGAAAGGAGCTGCCAACGTGAGGCAGCTGTAGCAAGAAGAATGGATTGAAACTGGTTGCTCAGTGGAGGGATTTTTCCAGGTTTAGGTTGATGCGACTGAGAGCAGGGCTGGAGTTCTGCATTGCAGGAAAGTTTTTGTTTGTTTTTTTGCTTTTCTTTTTCTGGCAGGTAGTTATTTCTAGTGCTTTGGTGCAGGGTTTGTTTATGCATGAAAAGGCTCTCCTGGGAGCATGTGTGCGTGGTAGTTGGGTGACGACCCAGTAAAGGGCAGCTTCAGCAGAAAACTGGCACCCCTGTGCTGGCCAGGAGGTGCACGTYGACAAGGACCAGGGAGAAAAGCAGAGAAAATTGGTTATTTTAATCCTAAATGATTTCCTTTTTAAAAAAGAAAATCTATTTTCGTTTCTCTGTTAATTTATTCCTGCCCATTTTCCCTAGAGGGTGTTATCTCTTCTTTCCCAGTTCTTCTCCTTTACAAGTGCATTCTCTTCTTTTTGGCATTGAGAAAGCGGGAGAAAAAGGGGTAAGAAATGAAGCAGAAAAGGATAAGCACAACCCTGAAAAAAAAMCCCAATTCTTCTATTTCTGCCTAAAAAGAGGGTTGGCTTTTTTAATTTGAAGAAAGATAATTTAAAAGTCTCAAAAAAAAAAAATGCCTATTACCTCCAGCAATAGCTCCAATGTCAGTCACAGCAGTGAGTGAATAATAATGAAATGGTTAAAAGCACTGGTTGCCCTCATAATGAAAAGGAGGGGACTAGGAGGGGGAACCAAATATTCTGAGTTGAGCTTGTCCTGCCCAACCTCCTTCCCCCCCACCCAGCCCTTGTAACTTCTCACTTGCACATTATGAGACTGAACATTAGCTGGGTTGATGCGTGTGGGCTATGCACTGAGCAGGAGACTGAGAGCAGCACTAGTTGCAGGACCGTGCTGGGGGCAAGCTGGACCTTCCCCAGGTCCTTGTTCTGGGGCACAGACAGAGTGAGACTCCCTGTTTTGTTTTCTGGAGGTTTTCTTCTTTTCAACCCCCAAATACAAGGCTGCAAACCCATGGGATGGCCATAGAGGCTGGGCTCCACTGCCAGGAGCTGGGGGTTTTGGGCAGCTGGACATGACCTTGAGGGCAACAGTCTCTAAACTCCACTCAAGGTGGAATTGGGTATCGATGATGGGAGTGGATCTGACTGGAGGGCTGAAATGAAACGTGGTGAGATGCTGTAAAACTGAGTTTCAATTTTCTGGAGATATTCAGGATTCATTTCTAGGCCTTGCAGTTTACGAGATAATGGGCTGTGTAACCGTTACTCATCTTTGTGACTAACGGCTTCTTTCCTGGCTTGCGTCCTGGAACTCAAAGCACTGCAATTTTTAATTCTTGATATCACAACTAATTATACTATTACAACTAGCTGTAATATTACAGCTAACATTATTCATCTTAGCCTTGCTTGTCTTTTCCCTTTTATAAATCCTGCTTCTATGTAGATTAAATTCTGAGGTTATTAACAATTTGATTATAGTTTAGTTGCATTAAATTACACCCTGGTGGTAAGGCTGTCCTGTCAACCACTACGATACCTACAATTAATTGAGAAGATAACTAGTGGTTTGATGAAAACTGTGCTGATGTAGGATAGCAATCTTTGTGGGAACCTTGTGCTGACTCTTGTGTACCTTTCTCCGTCCTAGCAATGAAGATGGACACAAAATGGGAAAGCTGGGCTGTAAGTTGTGGCAAGGTTTGCCTAATGCCTACCCATAGCAAGGTTGGATGGCCATGTATTAAAGCATGCTTTGGTTTCTAGGGCTTCTTGGATGATGCATGAAAGAAATTTGGGGAACCAAAGGAGTTGCTTTATCGTCAGATTTCATGTTCAAAACTTGGGTATAGCTTCAAAAAATGTCAGAGGGTTTCATCACTAGAGAACTCTGTGAGCAGAGTTGAGTTGCTGGGGGCTGGAGATGCTGAAATATGCAATGGGATGGCCATGCAGGCAAGGATGGAGGCACAAACCACCTGTAAGTCATGATCAGCAGGACATGCAGTGGGCAGGACTGTCCCCCCATCCTCACAGGACGTTTTGCACAGTTGTGGGGAACAAGAGTCACTAACTTTACTGCTGGTAGATGGTACCTCTGTCCAGCCATACACGTGTCTGACRGGACTCTGTTTTACCAGGTGTTTCAAGTGCCTGTTAATGTGCCCCAGGGCCTCATATTAAAAGGAGGAAGGCACTGAGGGAATTTCCAAATATCYGTCAATTCCTTCCTTTACAGCCTGAGGGGAAAGAGCTCAATGGATGCCAGTTCCCTTGGGTTAGAGATGTGGTTCACTCTCGGCATAGCAGGAACAATTCCTCTGGTAGTGACTTTTTTCCTCACTGGGATTTTCCTCATAATTGTTGGAGCAATGCCTTGTAAACGTTTCATTGCCTTAATGCTAGTCTCAAAGGTTACCTTGTTAACAAGGAGACTTTTCAGATATTCGCCACCAGGGTTCCCTTTTGTCTTCTAATAGTTGTCTGATGCTGCTCACGTGGGCAGGCAGCAAGACAGCAGGCGAAATGACTGTTTCACTGATCAGGATCTGCAATAATCACTTTGTGCTATGCATCCAAGTCTTTATGAACCTAAAGATGTTCGCCATTTTGTATGGTATATGGTGGTGTACATATCGTACCTCTAAAACATAAGTCAGGTATGGTTTTGTGGCATCTAATTGCAGATCTCTCTCTTCTCTTTTTCCTCCCCATCTTGTATGCCTCTGAAGGTGTATCTAGGCGTATCTTTTAGAATGTCAGCAGCAGACAGTGCAATTTTAAAGTACCTGGGAATGCCAATTAAAGCTTACTTATGTCATGATTGAACTGCCTTAGAAGTCGGTGCCCAGTAGAATGCACTGTGCCCTTAAAAGATGGGGAAATTGTTTCCCTGCCTGCATCTGATGATATGTTTAGCTGCAGAGAGCTGTGATCATCAACTCAAATCTTTGCACATGCAAAGAAAAGTTAGGTGGAAACCTAAATGGAAGTTGATATAGACAAAAATCAAAAGGGACATGTGTTTATTTTACATAAAGTATCAAATAAAGAAAAAGTGTCTCCAAAAGAATCAGTATTTGATTTTACTAATATCAAAATATATCAGCATTAACTGAGGTTTATCCTGGCTTGTGTTTTGGTTCCGCTAAAGTGGTCACAATGGATTTCTTTGCTTGCTTTCTATTTATTTTACTCAAGGGTAGGATCCAGAGGCCCTCGTTGAAGCATTGAATGTACAATATCTTGGACCTGTGCTCCATTGCTCAGCCTGAGATGCTCCATTGCCTCTTCTCCCTCTCAAGCAGGGAGGGAATCTGTCACCCCTTCCCAAACTGTGACATGTTTGTGTAGAGCTGAAGTGCTTCTTCTGATGCTCTGTCATCTTCCCCACACCACCTTTCTGAACCATGAGCTGGAGAGCAACCTCTTTGGCAATTAAACTCTGCTARCCAACTCCTTTCCCCCAGTCTTCCAACTGGCCAGGTGTTGTGGTGGGAACCCAACTTGGCTCTTTTGCAAGAGCTTGGCCCAGCAGGAGAAACAAGAGACCTGGTGCATTGTAGGAAGAGGAGAAGCTCCTGAGGCTGGAGGTGATCACAGCAGCTCTTCAAGCCCAGCAGCTCCTGGTTTCCAGCAGTGAAAGGGGGACCTGGCCCAGGAAGTTTGTGGGGACATCCAGCTTCTGGTGTATCTCTGGGTGTGGAAGATGCCTTAGGAATGGTAATAACTAAAGGCAAAGTCACTTTCCCTGTCCCCTGGAGTTTTGCAAGAGGCCATTGCCTCATTGCACGCTGCATCTCTTCCTCAGATTTCCAGTGCTTTTATGCTTGTTTGGTGTTTCCTGAAAACTCTTTAATTTGGCTGTACCTGGGTTCCATTGTCATCTCGGCACAGCAGGTGAGAGGAGTAAATGTGTTGCTGCTTTTGTGTCCGGACCCTACAAGGACCTGCTGGCCACGCTGTGAAATGGAGTGACATCTTATCCAGGGGAATTCAGTCCAACATATATGATGCTCATTTTCTATAAATAAGCTGCCCACATATGGCAGGGCACAAAAGGAAGAGGACAATGTCAAAAGATGTTTACTGATTTCCCGAGGAGCAGTCAGTTTAAATGAGAGCTCAGCTTAAATGAAAGGCCACAACTTCCAGAAGAGCTTGCTCTCCTGATGGAGGTCAGCTCCTATTTGGCTGCTAAAATTAGTAGCTGGGCTTCCAGGTAGACTGACTATTTTGGGTTCTAAGAAGCTGTGACAGTCTGGCCATAAAAGCAACAGTCAGGGTTGTGGAGCACTAAAAAGGAAAAATTGTTTATGTATTTACTCTAATGGGAGGGGAAATATGCTCCGTATGTTGCAGTTCTCAAAAATCTGTTTCTCCCTTGTATGCAGGTAGTGTCAACTTGGTTTCACAAATATATGTATGTATATATTTTTGTATGGATATCTGTGAAGGAGCTGGTGGCACAGACAGAGAACACAGGATACACTGGTTTCTCTATTGAYGCTCTCTCAGCTCTGAATGCTGAGCACTCAGCAAATTAAAACTAAATACAAGTAATCAAAACTGCCTGTTAGTTCCCTGCCATAAAATGAGCAAGAGTGAGAGTACAGCACTGCCTTTTTCTTCCTCTTCTCTCCAGGAAGAGCAAGCTTGTCTTGTCTTCTTACTCCCATATTGTATTTTTAAACCTTGAAATATATCTCATCCTTATCGTTGTAAGGAAAGTTTTGGGTGCTTAAGGGTACAGTAAACGTGTCATGATGTTGCATCTAATACGGGTTAACTAACTGGTAGCTCTCAAGAACTGCATGATCATATTCCACAATATATCCTGGAAATTTCCCATGAAATGGAAAGGGAAACAGTCAGGGCTAATATAAAGGTCTCACTTGCATCTTGATTTCTTAAAGTCAATAGAACAAGAAATATTTGTTTAGAAATGGAAAGCTGAAATACTATGTTTATTGATTCCTTCTTTCCGTATAAAACATTGAATTCATTATATGCCTGTAAAATATCTTACTTTCCTGAATGTGCTGAGGGAAGTTGGTGTTTTAGAAAATACCTGATCACTCTCTATTGATTTGTGTCAGATAATTCATGGTACTTTAAAATTACATGATTTGGCAGCGCTGACAGAAAATGAAACTGAAGGCCTTTTCCAACACRCTTTGTGGCAGCTGCACAAACAACACTCCTCCATGCAGAATTCCCTAAATACTAACCTGGCCCTGCATCTGCCTTTTGTGTGGGTGAGAGGTACCATTTCTACCCATGTGGTGGCTACCCCTCATGTCCTGTGGGAGCTCTGGGTTTTCCATCCAGCTAAGTCTCAGCAAGGTCTCTTAAGGACAAAACTCATTTGCAAGGACAGTGTTTTATCTAATGCATATTTCGTCATCTGAATGAGTCAAACTTGTCAAGGTGGGATACATATTTTGAGTCACAGCTGCCCCCATTCTCTAAATATATATATATATGAACTTAACTCTTGTATAAACAATCAAAAGGAGGGAAATCATTTGCAAGATTAATACTTTAATGTGCYATCTTCCTTTCTCTCTTTGGAGAGGGAAGAAAGACAAAAATACTTCAGCATTCATAGAGCCCAGTTGATGCATCATATTTGTGTGTTTAGGACCTTTTCTGTAAGGGCTTTTTCATCGGCATACTCAAAATCATGTCCTTTAATAGGCTGCTGTCACAAACATGAAAAATGATCAYTTCCTGGCAAATTCAAGGTTTTGGAGCCATTTTGACTGGGAAAGGACAAGCAAAACCAAGGCTGTCCCTAATACAGATATATTGTAGATAAACTTGGAATGAGATTCAGCAGAAAGTCTGTTGACTGTATCTGCAGGAGCATATGCAGGTTCATGCATGACTTATGCAACAAATGTTATTTGTATCATGAGATAGAACAGATATTTGTTCTATTCATTCTATCTAATGTTCAGATATTAAGAGAAATGAAGAAAACTCTTTCAGAACATTTTTTTTAAGACAGCAATGGAAAATGAGAGCTTATTTCAAGCTTTATACTTGCCTTCCACAACAACCTGAAGTGATCATTGATTGATAAGGCCAGGGATTACTGGTCAAAATCAAATCTTGCTGTGCATCCTCACTGAGTGAAGTTCAGCACTCAGATACACTGGTAGTTCTTGCTAAAAATATATGCTTGGGAGTCAAACAAGGCTATGAAAATTCTAGTTAAAAATCCACTCAGAGCGTAAAAGCACATTTTCCCTGTTCCTAGTGTGGAARGGAGTGGTATTGTACCAATGAATGAAGTCCTGCAGAGCTGCTGATTTAATAAAAAATGTTTATGTGAACCATTAAATTGGGTTTGGTCATCTTGGGTGTGTTTATCTTGTTGTTATTTTTCATTAAATCTTTGTCAGCAATTAGCCTGAACAGGAAAGTTTTCAGACTCTCCGGGAAATTAACTGAAGATCAGTTATTCTGCTGTCTTCCAAATTTATGGCTCTGCAACTAACTGCAGGCTTACTGCAATAAATAATATCTTGTATCCTCCAGTCTTATCAAATAGAAATCTGCTTCCTTGAGGGTACTCAAGATGAAATTGGTGCATTACAAACAAATTTATTAAAAGGCACATTCAATCTGTCATGAAAAATGAGGAATCTTCAGTTCTTACTAGGGCATGAGGGTTTGTGAGGGTTGTTTGTTTGGTGTTCTGTTTTTTGTTTGTTTATATTTTAATATAAATATGTCTAGGAAATTCAATAAGATTGCTCCTACAGAGCAAGTTTACCTTCTGAATGTCAAAAGCAAAGGGCAACCTGRAGCTGATTAATGGCTTCATAATCTGTCAGTTTAGAATCATAGCTAAATTATTTGTAAGATAATTTGGCTTGACTTTAATGAGGAATAAGGTCTTTCGGCCCAAAGAAAAGTCTATTAATCTCTCTGGCGCAGTGAGCAGTTGAGGGTATCTCTTACTGTATCCCTGCAAATGCATCTGTCTTCTGCAAAGTCTCAGGAAGGAGAAAGTTTAATAAACAARAACATAGTGACAAGGATGGCAAACACTAGGCTGGCGGTCTGGTTTCAATTTCCATCTTTTGTAGCTGGGCTATTGCACATGCCAAAGCTCTATATAGTGTTCAAAGGGGGACACTGAGGTGCTTGGAGCAGGGTGGCAGCTCTGCGGATGCTTAGCTGGGAGATGTTAGTGCTCAGCAGAGATCTGGAGCTTTCCAGGCCGATTGAGGATGTGGTCCAAGGTGAGAAAAATAACCTTGTTCCTGGAAGTTTAGAGGTTATTCAGTCCTTCTGGCTGCGTTGGATACTTCATATAGTTGCAAATGCGATTTAATTGGCTAAAGGGTAGCTGGGATACAAGGGTGATTTCTACAAAGATAAACATAAAATCCATTTATTTTCTTTGGTCTTCAAGAGGAGTGACTTGGGATGAGGATGCATGTTTATGACGCTTCTGGAAATGAAGAGGTAAAGGTACTGGATGCTACATGCTGGTTTGTTCTGTAGTATATAAGTTCCTACTTGTTTTCTTGTTTCATGCTAAGCGCGACTGCTATACTGTCTTGCATTGGACCTGGAAGCAGCAGTCACACAGCAAAACCAGCTAGCTCTGGCCTTTATAGCTGCTAATTGAAAAATAGCTGCTTTGAAATATGAATCAACATTGTGCTGTCCTCTGGATTRTGCAAGCTAAGGAGGGCAGCAGTGGATTGCCTCACTGGCGTCCTAGGGTAACTTCAGGATTCGAGAGAATAACAGGTTGAAGAGCTAGTTCRAAGTTCAGACTTGCATTGACTTTAACGGGTTTTGAGCCTAACAGCATGGGAGTTTTGGCGTGCTACTTTTAATTGTGTTCTGATTTTTATTATTATTTTAGTGGTAGCTATATTTCTTAATCTAAAAAGAGTTTTAGCTGTTTCAATACCTCACTATTTCAGGGAGCTATTTTATTGCAGTAGGAAACAAATTAAGTTGTTTAAATCTATATTGGTTTTTCCATGGGAAAATCAAAGATAAATTCAACACAGGTCAGGTTGTAATAATATAGAGCACTTCCTTCCATCTCTTTTGTGGAGCAGACCCACAGGTCACCATTACCTAATGCTTTCTGGTGGGAGAAGGAGAAGCAAAAAGTGCTAGCATCCATCTTTGCCTGTGAGTAGTTAGGCCTATTGATGTTCATAGACTATAACAGGAAAAATGCTTTCTGAAGCCATTTGATTCCAAAAACTKGAGTTCTTACTGCCAGTTAAATGTCAGATAAATGTTGTATTGTCAGATAAAATGGTTTGTTGATCAAGGATCTGGATCATGGAGACCTGAGATCTACACCACCCTCCTACTTGGGGCTATGCTAGTGCTGGGGTTGGTGCTGTCCCCCGAGTCTATGGATTATCTTTAATATTAGCATCAGCAGAGACCAGCGAGTCGGGGAAAACTGCAAGCTCTTTGCCTGCAGGACGTTAGTCACAGATCAGACTAGCCCTAGCCTGGCTGACTACAGCTTGCATCTCGTTCCTGTTTGAGTAAAGCTACTTGTGGTAATGGCCTTATTAAACTGGTATATGCTACAAATCCACACRAAGAGAAATAAGTGCCCAGATTAGATTAGTCACTAACAGCTCTGAACATACAGCTGTTTGCCAAATGGCACATTGAGTTTTTATTTTTGCATAGACTTCGACTGATAGCAATTTGAAGGCAGTCATTACAGCCATCAGCCTCTGAATGAGAAATTTCAAGGGACATTTCAGGATAAATCAGCTCCTCTGCTAGAAGAAATTATTCCTGATTTGCTCTAGGCTATGGAAAGCAATTACATGCATTTAGTACAATAACCTGTTTTTCCCAAATAGGAGTAACTCTTTTGGCAACAAACACACACTTTTACTTCCAATTAAGTGTGTGGGTATGCAAACAGAAGGAAAACTGCTTTTTTAAGTTCAGTGTAATAACTGGAAAATAGTTGGAAGAAAGAAATGTCATTTGCAATTCAGAGTATGAGACTTTGACCATTCGTAATCCCTCCTTTGCAACACAGTTGAGTTTGTGAAGACAGACGCACGCTTCCCAATTAATTCATAAGTATTACAGACTTAATTCCTTTCCAGCTGGTAGACTCCTTAGAAAAGGATGTGTTTTCAGATGTAAACTTGCTGTAACTCATGCT